GAACCAACTTTCTTTGCAAGTAGACCTGTCAGTTGATTTTATATAATCATTTTACTTAATGTCAAAGAGTTGCTCTCCTGGAGGTTAGCATCTGCCATGCTGGTGACACACAGAAAAGGTTCTCTGTTTAAATGAAAGCAGTTTTGTTTTGGGGGTATTAAAATTTACAAGTCATTCCTTGCCCAAGTTAACCATTGATTGGAAGTCCTTTTCAAGAGCAGCTGTCAGTTTTACTTTGTTAGACTTGCTACTAAGACAGGAAAGAGTAAATAGTTGTGTCATCTGCATAAATACATAGTTGGGAACTGATGACACTGGGAATGCTGTTATTGAAGATAAGAAGCAACCATGGATAGGTCCCTGAGGGACACCTGCATTAATGAAGTGTATCTGTTCAACATCACCTTAATTACACATTTTGTTAGGTATGATTGGATTAATCCAAAGATCTGTTCAGAGATACTGTAGCTGTTGTTACAGACAAGTGCATGGTTGCAAGAAAGAAATACGACAACAGCAGAAATAGATTTACGTGATTTACTTCAATAGGAGCATGTGGTTTTGGGAGAGCTACCTTGTGGTATAGTTCATAAGCCGGTTGCCGATCTGGGTTGATCTCTCATAGTAGTTCTCACTAGTTGGCATGGTGCTCCTCCTGCTGACTGCCCAGATTGACTGTGACAGATCTCTTCCCTGGCCTCCTGTTGACTGCTCTTGTACTTCCCTGTATGACCCCTTTTATGGCGTTTTTTTATGGCTTAACAGGCTCAAAAAATGACACGAGTATAATTAGAAGGGAAGCATTTTTATTGGTCGAGAAATAGGAACACTTTAAAATATTATTTTATTTTTTGACCGGAACTCGTGTGTCGAGCCTATGCGTAAACGACGATAATGGTCATTTTGTGATGAGGACTTGTCCTGTTCACATCCGGCTCTCACTCTTGAGTATGTTAGTTTATTTGCCTGCAAATCAGCCAAGATATGTCTTATTTTATTTTATAACACTGTTGGGCTTATAGAGAAAGCCAGCATGCCCTGTCAAATGCCTTTGAGATATCTAAAGCCACAACCCTAGCTTTGCTGTTCTTATCTAAAGCCTGATAGTTAAATTCAGTGATAGTCATTAAAACATAGAGAAACAAATTGTTTATCCAAAATAAAGCTGTAGGAAAACAGTATAGTAAATATATTTACATATAGGGTATGGCATTAGAAATATATTTAAATATAATACAATATAGGAAATATATTTACACAAACAGTATGACACAGGAAATATGTTTATATATAAGGTATAGCATAGGAAATTTATTTATCAGAAATAGCATTGGAAATGTAATTACATATATTTGTATTGTATAGGAAATATATTCAAATATGATATAAGAATTGTATTTAAATGTATTACATTATAGGAAATACGTTGAAATATATGGAATAGAAAATGTATAAAGTACAGTATAGGAAATGTATTTATATTATATGATTTAAATGTAATATATTACAACATCAAAGACATATCTGAATGTTATATATATGAAATATATTTAAATATATGGTAAGGTATAGTAAAATATATTTAAATAAATACAGTATGGGAAATGTATTTATATCATATAACATAGAGAATGTATTTAAATGTAATATCATATATAAAATATATTTGATTACATGGTAAGGCACAGGAAATATATTTAAACATAGGAAATATATAAAAATGCAAACTTGCATGTGAAACAGTACAAAAAAATGAAAATAAAGCTATTTGCTGTAAATAAGGCTTATTTTATTTTTTTGATACAAGCCATTTTCATCATTTTTTAGAATCCATATTATATATACAAATGAGAAAATATCTTTACATCCTCAGCAAAAAATATATTTCTTCAATAAATAAAAACAAAGTAAATTTTCATTCTTTTTTTTTTTTCTTTATTGCTTTTTTCAAGAGAAAAGCGCTTCATTCATGTACAAAATAAACTGCATTTACAAAAGAATAAGAATATATTCCAGTGGCTTTTTTTTCCATCTTATTTTCTACTATAATTTCTCCAAAAGTTGTAATCTGCAAATTGTGTTTTTTTTCTTTGTCCGGATCTTCTCTTGTCAAACAAGGAAATGAAAGAAAATTATTGTTTTCTTTTTTTTTGTTGTACAGTAGCAATGAAGCAATTTTGGAAATTTTATATTCAATGCCAAGTTTTTTCCTCCCAATTGGAGATGATTTGTGCTTACAATTGACTTTAACACTTCTTACCTTTTTCCTGTCTGATTTCTACTTTTCTATCAATATTTCTTCTCTTATACTATAAGTCAATCTGTCTCTGTTGTTCCCATTTGCAACAGTTTAACTATCTATCTCAGTCTGTTTTTATCTATCTATCTAAATAAGTCCAGAGTGATGCAACAAATATTTATCAATATAATCTCCTATCTTGCCCATGCACTTAATTAAGTGGTCAGTGTTATTGGCATGGTCCAAACTATTTCAAATCAAAATTCTGCTAATAACTATATGTCAGGTGGTAGATATATTGAAAATATATATATATATATATATATATATAGAGAGAGAGAGAGAGAGAGAGAAAGACAGGCAGAGAGACAGACAGACAGAGACAAGGAGCATAGACATAGGAATGAATAGTGCATGGTGACTCAGTTTTGTGCTTCAGCAGGAATTTCAGACAAAATTGCAATCACTATTCTATGTTGATTCCTATGTCCACTCTGTTTATATCTATAAATCTCCTGTAAAGATAGCAAAATTTAAAAAAATAAATAAAAACATAAATGCACACACACACACATATATATATATATATATATATATATATATATATATATATATATATAGAGAAAGAAAATATCTGGAAAACAAACAAAAATCTTAGAATGTGATTATGTTGTTTTAATTAAAACAACATAATCACATTCTAAGGATTTTTGTTTGTTTTTCCAGATATTTTCTTCATTCTGTCGGATTTATATCCATTTATATTTGCTAACATATATATATATATATATATATATATATAAAATTAGAAATAATACAAGTAAAAGGTTTGTCACTTAGCTGATTGATGTTACCTTCAGTATCCCGACTCCAGAGTTTCATAGATGGACACTTTGGGAATCACTTTGTCCACTCATCAGGGGTTATCAACAATTGACTGTTTATAAATCTCAATTTTTCTTTTTTATATGCACGTTTCATTGGTGTAAGTTTTTCATAGTGTGTGTGTGTGTGTGTGTACACATGCCCATGTGCCTGTGTGTGTGTAGAATGTTGTGGTTATTTGTTGTCATTGTTTTTTTTTACCTTACATTCACCCCTCCTTATTGATTCTTTTTACCTTTTCTTTCTTTTTCTCTTTTTCCTTTTTTCTTTCAATTGCAACCATTTTGATTTGGAAATATAATGTTGTTAATTGTTGAACATTTTTATTCTGTACCTACATATATTTGATATTTATAACAGAAAGGATTCTAGAATATCTATGTATACATTGTATGTGTGTACATTAATAATGGTCATTTGTATACATAAATTATATATGCGTACATCCCCTCTAATGTACCTCTTAATGTTTGCCTCAAAAGACTTTCTTGCCTGCTCTTTGTACACTGATTAGCACAGATAGCAGAAAATATAACATCTGTGTATTATACCATTCAAGTTCCTTTTTTTTAAAAAAAAATAACAAAACATGTTTCTTCAGGATTTAAGCAGTTAAGACTTCTTTTGCTTTTATCTAATATCTGAGAATTGTAAACTGCTATGACTGTTCTTGGGAAGGGCATTAATGTAAAAGTAAACAAAACAGACTAGGATGGAATTTAACCTTAGCTTGCTGATTTCACTTTTCATGCCAATAACCATTAGACTAACTGCACATCTATTCTACTAACAATACTAGTGTAAAAAAAATAATAAAAAAAAAATAAAAAGATATATAGCACTGAGAGAGATTGAGGAATGATGGATGAGTTTATAGGTTTAATTTGATCTTCTGAAAAACTGTTAAATTCTTATCATATCTCATCAGTAAGATGTGAGTTTAAGTATCCCTGAGAACTTTATTTTTGATCCTCACTAAATACTAATTGTTATAGATAGATGTCCTGAGTAAAATTGCAATAAAAAGCAACTAATAAATTAAGATGAAAGTAAATACAAGTTAAAAATTAATAACAATGGTTTTGTATACATTGTTACTTACAAATATTTTAACAAATACAATAATAGCAATTAAAACTGACATATTAAAAGAAATGAATATCAAAAAAGAAATAGTAACATAAAAAGTTTTATATTACCACAAAGTGGTAATATCAAAGTACAAAAAAAAGCAACTTAACTGGTTTATCCATCCTCAGTTGAGGACAAGAAATGTACAGTGACAAAAATGAATAACAAACATGAAAGACTGATTATATTTAAGCTTAGAAATTATTGCTTTTGCTCACAGAGGGATGGATGGAAGGACTTAATATAAATTGACTCCAAAACCCTCAGAAAAAAATTAGAGGGAACTTTCCTCCATACTCAAAACATGTCTTGGTTAGAGGGCTAAACACTAATGGTTATTTAATAAATATTCAGCTGAAGTAGTTGTGTTAATGCACCTATACAAATTGTCCAATTTCCCCTTTAGAATATTGGCTGGTGTGTGTTGATTAATCCTTGTTTTAAGCTCCTGACTCATTGTATCTATGTATTTAACATCACATTGACATTTGAAAAGATAAATTACTGAACTGATATGGTGGGAAGATAGAACATCCTTCCTGATTGAACTTTACATAGGTTGTACAGTAAAGATAAAGTAATGCCAGTCCTTACATTAATCTTATGAAAGTAAATACAAGTCAAATATAAATAATAATGGTTTTATATACATTGTTACTTTCAAATTATTTCACGCAATTCTTCAATTCTAACAGTGTGTCCTTTTTTCTTTTGTCTTTTACAGTACTTTAGATAAAGCAGCAAGATGCCCGCGTACCTCTCAGATACACTGCTGCGACTGAAGCGGGAGGCTGCGATGCAGGAGGAGGCCGATGAAATCACCACAGCAGCGGACGAGGCTGCAGGGTCGGCAATGGAGACTGTTACCAAAGCAGCACCCAAAAATGGTATTGACAAAATTATGGACGAAGCATTACATGAATTAGAAAAACGTAGGTACCTTCCCTTACCAATTAGCGGTCCGCTTTCGATTTTTTCCATCTTTCTCTTTAAAAACTTAATATTTCTTATTTACATATCTGTATATATACAGACATATTGATGCATAGACACCAAGGTAGATGGATAGACATTCTGTTATATGCATATACATGATAAGTATATTTTGTCTGCCCACTGGTTGGTCATAGCACAGCTAATCATATGAATTGAGAAGGAGTAAAATTATGATAAATAGAACCTTTTAGCTATGGATAACACTCAACTAGCTGAAAGTAAGCAAGGTCAGCTCTATGGGATGGGAATTCTTCCAAAGACCTGTAAAATCTGACAAAATAATCTCGTGAAGACCAACTAACTCAATTGAAAAATTGTTGAAGATGGCCAAGTAACTCTCTTGGAAGAATGAGTCAAGACTAATATAGAATTTTATGTGATACAGTTCCTGCAATTAGTAGCAGATGGAACGGAAGATAAAGATTTCTTAAACTATCACAAAATGGAGAGATCATGTTTATTCCTGTAAATTCTGTCTAAGCTACAACCACACTGAGCTGAGACCCCCAGCTGTTGTACTCTTAATTGCAAACTGTATGGAACTCACTGGTTTGAAATTCAGAGTTGTCACTTCTTAGGAATTGTCACTTCCTTGCCAACCAAGGATAGAAAACCAGGTCTGCCCTACTATTTTTCCCATAACTGAGATGAAAATAGATAGTCATGCCTTTCTGATGAGCAGTATTTACAAAGTGAAAATAAAATCTCTCAGCAAGAATTTGAACTTGGATTGCTGTTTCCATTTTCCATACCGCTAACCAGTTGTATTTCTGAAGAGTGACTATAACTGGATCCAATTCTTACTGATTATACAGGTCTAGATGGAAACCATCAGCTTTGAAATTGAACTACTGTTTCCATTTTCCATTATGTAACATTCACTTCCACTGAGCAACTATAACTAGATTTTAATATTCTTCATGATTATATGAGTCTAGACTGAAACCATCAACTATGAACTTGTGGTAAACTATGATCTTCATAAACAAAGATAAAGTAAACTCAACAGAATTTTTGATTCTTCATAACCAAACAAGGAAAACATTGCTTAAAACCCAGAACTGATTATGCATGATATTTACCTAATATTGTGAAAGAAAATCTCAGATTAATCTCTGACTAATTATTGCTGCACAATTATCTAACCATTTAATATTAACAATAAAAAGTTGCCAACTGAGGGTAATGGCACCTTATTCCTCTTCAAAGTACTTTTGTTGGGACTTCACACACTTAACAACTGTTTAATTTTTCAAAACAGTCTATAAATGTCAACTGTAGAGAAACTGACAGTCCTGGATGATGTAATATTTTTCCCCACAAAAAAAACCTGAACAAAAATACAATAGTCAGACACAACACAGGTTTGCTCAATGGTGTCTAACTGCCAACTGAGTAACCCTAATTCATGTGATCAGATTTCAAGTTATATTCAGGTCATGCAGTCAGTCCTTGAGATATTCAAAACTGGTGGATGTTGTTGTCTGGTTAACTATGTAGACTCCTTATAGGACCACAACTTCTATGTGTTGCTGATGTTGTTTTTTGTGACAAGTAGGGTTTTACAGAGTGGAGACACATACCTGACTTTTTTTGTAATGTCATTCTCCTAGAATGGTTGTTAAAAAGGCTAGATCTCATTCTGCCCTGCTCTTAACATCTAGCTTGGCTAAGAAAAGATGGATTTATACCTATCTAAGGAAATCATTTAAAAAAAATGAACAGCAGACTAGGCTAGAATTTGAACTCAGCTCACCATTATTACTTTCTGTGCTAATAACCAGTATGCTACATGCACATCCTTAGGCTATTTGGTTTTAGTGATTTCCACTGAAACCAAATTCAATGATATATCCTTATGTATATCATGTTTTATTGGCCAGACAACAATATAAATGGTTTTGAATACATAACTTAAAAAATGGAATTTGGAATGAACAACTCCTTATAAAGTAATGGTATATATCCACATCTGTTACTGTATTTCTATACATTAGTCAGTTATGTGCCATGCATGATACATGCTTAGGCAAGCATGTGTCTTTCAATACATGACTGACAAGGTAGATTTTTTTTTCCCACAGTAGGCTGCCATTTCTTTTTGCAGTAGACCAGTTGCCATCCAAGGCTATAGAACCCGGTCTGTCCTGCTATTTACCCATAGCTGGGTGGAGAAGAAGAGGATTTATACCTTTCGCAAGGGTATTAGCACATAAGTGAATGTAATCAATTCAGACAGAATTTGAACTCAGCTCTCCAATTCCTCAATCTGAGCCACTATCCATTACTCCACTGTGCCTCCTCTTTTATACATACTGCTTAATAAAAGCACCTTCAAATTTCTTCATCTGTTATATCTTTAGCTTGATGTCTTTTATGAAAAAGAACATTTGATATTGTATTCTTTATCTTCCTCTGGATTTTGGAAGAAATACCCTTCAAGAAAAATTAAATATTTTTAACACAAGTCCTTCTGGTGTCAGTTTAAACTGGTGTCTTCTCTTTTTTACCATATATCTAAACTATACTTATAAACTAAATTTTGTGAAGTGAAAATGTTACTGAAATATATTGTAAAATTTCCAAGTTTTCATCTGAAATTAAGAAAATATGAACAAAATGATCACGATATATTAAAAAAAATGTCAGTTTGAACTGAAGCCAGAAGGATAATTAAGTAAGTAATTAAGTTCTCTTCCTTGCACAAATTTGCTATGGTTTATTATCAAAAGTTCAGCCATAAAAGGGAAAATGTGTCCAATCAAAATGAAGGACTCTTTTCTTGGAAGTCAGTCAATTACTTTTAAAAATCCATGATATACAAAGAGTATAAATACCGGTAAATATTACTGCATGTAATGAATGTCTTTAAGACAGAGCAGTAGAAATATAACTCTGGTATGGAATCCTATATCAAATTATAGGAATTTACTTTACAAGCAATTCTAAAATGAAGGGTCAAATAATAATAGTTATTATTATTAATAATAATAATATTCATACTTGTATCAAGACCTCAAGGTGCAATTTCAGATATATTTGCAGGTTAAAATAACAACTGAAAATATTGCTTAACTCATTGAATCCATAATACTTGTTTGCCAGTACAACACCAGTGTCTAATCACTGTAGTATTGGTAAAGATGGAATGCATGGCTATCAGCAAAAGGGCAAGCCCCAAATGCAAATTGCAGGCCAGGAATACTAAAATCAATCAGCTACAGAAATTTAGATATCTGGGAAGTGTTCTAACAGAGGATGGAAAGTGCAACACTGAGATACAAAGACAAATTGGGATGGCCAAAAATGCATTCCAAAAGCTAAGCAGAGTATTAAGAGACAGAAAAATTTTGTTAGAAACAAAGAATATATAGCACTGAACTGTTACATGATCTCTATCCACTTGTATGGCAATGAATGCTGGACAGTCTCCTCAAAGATGAAGAAGAGATTTGAAACAACAGAAATAGAATACCATGGACCAAACATGTGAGAAATGATAAGGTTTTAAAAAAAAATGGAAGCAAAAAAGAAACTTATACTTGATATCAGGAGGAGGCAGTTGAAATTTCTGGAGTACATCATGAGGAAGGAAGGCTTGGAAAGTTTGATACTCATGGGACAGATTGTGAGACAGAGGAAAGTAACACATAACATGCTTGATAGGCTTGAGCAAATAGATGGCAGAACAGGGTTTGGGAGAAATAACAAAAAGATAAAACTTATTGAGAGCTACAAGGGACAAGAAGATGTGGAGGGCCATGATCGCCTACAACATGAAGGGATATGGTACATAAAAGAAGAAAATTGGCAAACTAATAAAAGTGTTTACCTCAAACTTAGAAAGCCCAAAATAGCTTGAAATAAAGCATTCAGTCCCATAAGGAATAAGGTAAATCTAATGATTGAACTTTTTCTTTACATACTTCTATGAATAATTCAAAGGATTTTTGTGACCATTTAAAGATGGATTGAGATGCTGATCAATGTTGATGTTATCCTTGTGTAAAATATGGATCTGCTTGCTGACAAAATTGGCATACAAAAAAAAAGTTACTCAACCTGACATTAAAGGAGTCGGTCAGTTATGTGCCATGCATGATACACACTTAGGCGATCATGTATCTTTCGATACATGACTGACAAGGCAGATTTTTTCCCACAGTAGTTTGCCATTTCTTTCTGCAGTAGACCAGTTGCCATCCAAAGCTATAGAAACCAGTATGTCCTGCTATTTACCCATAGCTGGGGAGAGAAGAGGGGGATTTAAACTTTTCCCAAGGGTATTAGCACATAAGTGAATGCAATGGAACTGACTGTAATTTGAACTCAGCTCAATGATTCCTCAGTCCAAGCCACTATCCATTACCCCACCATGCCTCCCTATTAAAGGAGAAGGTTGTTTATATGATTAACTTTGTCCTAGCCATTTGTAGCTCTTCATACAAGTCATTTTGAAATAATGAAATTTAGCCAAAATATTTTGGGTTGATGTATTGACAAGTGTGGGGGGGGGTATCTTAGAGTTCAGTGGGTTTAAGTCTGTGCAAAAAAGTACTAATTCTGTTGCACGACAAGATATACATATCTATCATGTAAAATTTTTAAAAAGCAACCAGCTTATTTGTATATAACGGTGTCTATGTATGTATTCTACCTCTGATGTATGTGTCTGTATATCTGTACATATATATGTGTGTTTAACTATCAATATATATATATATCTATATATATTGGCTTTTTGCTTTTTTTCTCAATTTTTGCCTCTTTTTTTACCATCCAACCAACTACACTTAAAGCTTATAGCATGCTTTTCTCTTCTGTCTCCTCACTTCCAATAATCACACATCCACCACCACTGCCACTGCCATCACCACCACCACCACCACTACTGCAACTACCAACACAACCCACCAACTAACCACTGTCCACTAAT